TAAATAAAATCTGGAGTATTACCACTGTCCAAATACAATAGCACAGTGGGAAGTATTCCCCCATCCACCTCGGATGTGTGGAAGGGGGAATCGATTCAGTTTTTTTTTTTTTCATTCATAAAAATGGCCAGCTTAAAGTGGAGCTCCAGTCGTGTTTGTAAAAATTAAAAGTCAGCAACACTAAAAACTGTAATAAACAGCCACTCGCCAGTCCCTCCATCCAGCGGTGTGCTCGGCCCAGTGGTTTTTAGTAGTATCCTCTCTCCCCGGCGCTGGCTGGCTGGAGGAGCCCTTAAAGTGGAACTTCCCCTTTTTGGTGGAGCTCTGATTTAAGGGTGCTATCAAACATTGCAACATAGGCAAGAGGGTTCAGGGGCCACTGTCAGACTATTTCCACTCTTGTACGTATTTGTAGACTCAGCCCAGGGACGGACTGACCATTTGGAAACTCGGGCACCGCCTGAGGGCCGGAGGTCAGTAGGGGGCCCCATGAGATGCCCCTGGTACCTTTTTCATAGGCTTTTTTGAGTTTGGGCAAGGACACAGGGGCCTCATGATCCCCTATTGTCCGAGGGCCCCCGGATGAGTTGTCAGTCCGCCCCTGACTCAGCCATTTGACATACAGAAAAAGGTCAAGCAACTGGGTTATGGCGTGGTAGAACAGCAGTTAATGAGCATATACTTCTAATACAGGCTGCGTGCATGTTGGGAAGAAGGATCCAAGCTGAGTAGGAAGGCAGAGGGATCCCAGATGGTACAGGCTGCCACTGCCAGTGAAAGGCACAAAACATAGATATGAAAAAAAGCAATTTTAAGTAAAATATTAGAAGTCGTATGCGTTGAGGTTTTGTTAGTCATTTACTGTGTGAAAAGTAATACGAACCTTTAAAGATGAATTCTGGACACAAAAACGTTAATTCAAATATATTCATCAACAGCCACAAAGGATATAAACTTACTTTAGTGCACTAAATGGCTTTGCAAACCCAGATATTACATTGTCACTGTGCTGTTCATAGTATGTAGAAACAGCAGAGCTGTGGGAGGAACCCAGTAGGCTCCTCCCACTACCTGCAGAAACTACAGGAGAGGGCAGAGACAAGACCAGTCACCCTGCGCAAAAGAGAGAGCAGCAGTGACTGGTCTGTTTATTACAGGAAGCTCCTGCACAGAGATAAAGGCTCACACTGGATTACTGCACAGAAATACACAAAGCACGCCAAGATTCAAGAATAATACACATGGATCTTGTATTTGGACAATGTTGGCTCAGCTTTAAGCCCTGGTTCACATATATGCGGGCCGCGTTTTGCACGGGCACAAGAGCCCAGTCATTTGAATGGACTCCCGTGGCCCGTGACATGCAGGAAAAAAGTCCCTGCACTTCTTCTGAAAACGCAGGCCGCACGGGAACCTCGGTTCCCAGTACGGTTGCATTTTCCATTGGGGTCGGTGTGCCATTAGAACTAATGGCTCCCGCCCGCGGGGTCCACATTTCTCTCTGCGGATGGTGCGGCTGCATGGTATTTCGTGTGGATCCACAGCGGCACCACCCGCACATAAAGGGAAGCTGTCGCCCTGCCCTCCCTCCATGCAGGGCAAAGTGACAGTGTCTCTGCAAAAGTCCCCCAAACCACTTAGAATCACCTGTGCTAAATCACAGCTCCTTGCCCCAAGAATAACTGGCACTTCTGAGTATGCTGGGGCACGGGCCCCTCTGTGACAGTGCCAGTTGATAGTGGGCGATCATACCAGTGTCAGATGTTGAATGCAGCAGTGTGTGTCAGTCACTAAACGGGATTAAAAATGTACGTAGCACAAAATGGAGCTAGCTGATCTAATTGATTGGCTTGGCTGTCATTTCTAGGTCACTTTGATTCATAATGTTTAGCCGCACTCGGTAACCTCCATGTTGAGTCTGGCGTATCGACTTCCCAAGACCCAGATTCTGGCATCTTGCCTAAACATCCTCTCTGCTTCAACCGCTCCACTTCCAGAGACATGCAAATTGATTTTCTGTGCACTCTTAAGCTAATTGATAAGAATTATGACTGCAAAGCACTTCATTATAAATCAAAGCAAGGCTGGGTCTGAAGACAATGAAGTAGAAGTCACCCAGGTATTATTATTATTATAGGTACTTGTATAGCGTCGTCAATTTACACAGCGCTTTACATATATATTGTACATTCACATCAGTCCCTAACCCTCAAGGGGTGTACAATCTAAGGTCCCTAACTCACATTCATATAGTATATTGTACATTCACATCAGTCCTTAACCCTCAAGGGGCGTACAATCTAAGGTCCCTAACTCACATTCATATAGTATATTGTACATTCACATCAGTCCTTAACCCTCAAGGGGCGTACAATCTAAGGTCCCCTAACTCACATACATACAGTATATTGTACATTCACATCAGTCCTTAACCCTCAAGGGGCGTACAATCTAAGGTCCCTAATCTCACATACATACAGTATATTGTACATTCACATCAGTCCCTAACCCTCAAGGGGCGTACAATCTAAGGTCCCTAACTCACATACATACAGTATATTGTACATTCACATCCGTCCCTAACCCTCAAGGGGCGTACAATCTAAGGTCCCTAACTCACATACATACAGTATATTGTACATTCACATCAGTCCCTAACCCTCAAGGGGCGTACAATCTAAGGTCCCTAACTCACATACATACAGTATATTGTACATTCACATCAGTCCCTAACCCTCAAGGGGTGTACAATCTAAGGTCCCTAACTCGCACACATACAGTATATTGTACATTCACATCAGTCCCTAACCCTCAAGGGGCGTACAATCTAAGGTCCCTAACTCGCATACATACAGTATATTGTACATTCACATCAGTCCCTAACCCTCAAGGGGTGTACAATCTAAGGTCCCTAACTCACATTCATACATACACATAGTAGGGACAATTTAGACAGGATCCAATTCACCGACCAGCATGTCTTTTGGAGTACCCTTACAGGGATTTAGCAGTCATGTCATAGATAACACCTACAAGGCTGCAGCGGTGTTCTGATATACCGGGCCTCAATGTGTACATTCTTCACATAAGTAAACAGAACTTGCACCTAAAGCCATCGGAATTGTTTTTTTAGAAGGATTTACATAGGAAAAAAAAAAAAATCAAAAAGCTTGTTTTCAATCATGTCTAGGGCCCCATTTACACCTTTTTGAAGCTCAAAGCTTCAAAACTCTGTGTGGGAAATTTACTAAAACTGACGCACTCCGAATCTAGTGCAGCTGTGCATGGTACTACCCTACCCGTGCCCTCCGCTCCTCACAGGACCTCCTGCTCTCTAGCTCCCTGGTCTCCTCCTCCCACGCCCAATTGCAGGACTTCTCTAGGACCTCCCCCATCCTCTGGAACTCCCTACCCCAATCCATCAGAATGTCACCTACCCTCCTCACCTTCAGGCGCACCCTGAAAACCCTCCTCTTCAGGGATGCCTACCCCAACCTCACCTAACAATTAACCTCCTCCACTCCTCCACCCCCCACAGCCATCTCCTCCTGTGCCACCTTCCTCTCCCTCCTAGATTGTAAGCTTGAAAGAGCAGGGCCCTCGAACCCCTTGTGTATTGTATTGTTACAGTTTTGTCTCATGTTCTGTCCCCCTGGCTACTGTACAGTGCTGAGCATACCCTTTGGCACTATATAAATACTGTATAATAATAATAAATGGTAGCCAATCGGCTTCTAACTTCAGCTTGTTCAATTAAGTTTTACAGTAAAACCTGGAAGCTGATTGGTTTCTATGCAGAGCTGCTCCAGATCCAAATACTGTATAATAATAATAAATGGTAGCCAATCGGCTTCTAACTTCAGCTTGTTCAATTAAGTTTTACAGTAAAACCTGGAAGCTGATTGGTTTCTATGCAGAGCTGCTCCAGATCCAAATACTGTATAATAATAATAAATGGTAGCCAATCGGCTCTAACTTCAGCTTGTTCAATTAAGTTTTACAGTAAAACCTGGAAGCTGATTGGTTTCTATGCAGAGCTGCTCCAGATTTTGTACTTCAGTTTTAATAAATAACCCCTATGTATTTTAATGGTGACTGTTCACATATGAGCAGTGCTCCTAGCTCGACACCTGAAGCTCCAAGGCAGATTTGAGCATATTTATCTCTTCATACTTCAGTGGAAACGCCTTAAAATGCTCAAATGGAGGGGGGGGGGGGGGCATTTTTGAGCCTGTAAGAACCCTGTACTTTTCATTGGCTAAAGCAGTAAGCTTGAACACACATGTAAAACTCTTAAAATGCTTGAATACACACTCAACACCTTAAAATTGTTCTGCTCAGCTGCTTTTATTGAGCTTCAAGTGTTTTGGCCTTAATAAAATTCAATGCAGGTGCCTGAAAAACATGCAAACACATGCCAAGCTAGTAACTAGCTTTCCATTGGCTAAAATGTAAAAAAAAGTAGACCCAATAAAAATGTCTGCAGAAAACTACAGGAGGGGGCGGAGACAAGACCAGTTACCCTGCAGAAGGAGAAAGAGCAGCGGTGACTGGTCTTTATTACAGGAATCTGCTGCAGAGGCAAGATTTCAAACTGGATTACTGCACACAACTGGAAGAAATACACAAAGCACTCCCAATACACAAGGCTCTTGTATGTAGACTGTATTTGATTATTGTGGAGTTTTAAAGTGATTCTAAAGACTAGATATTTTTTTACCTTCTTGCATTCTATGTATGAAGGTAAAAAAATCTTAATTGTGCAGCTTCATTGTGTCTCATAGACATGCAGAGGCAGCTCAGGAGTGAGCAAGCTTGCTATGGGGGCACTCAGCAGGGAAAAGGAGCCAGAAGCAGGGGCGGGGGACCCTGGGAAGAGGAGGATCAGGGCTGCTCTGTGCAAAGAGCAGGTAAGTAGAACATGTTTGCTAATAAAAAAAAAAAACTGAATCCTTACAAACACTTTAACCATTCCCTACTCTATGAATGAGGCCCCTATCACACAGGGGCAGTCTGGTCCATTCAGCAGAGGATATGTAAACAGATGCCCTGCTAAATCAGAGCAGAATGGGATGGACGTCACCTTTGTTACATCCGTGTCCATTCTGTGTGTTGCTCCATTTTAAAACTGGAGCTTTTCAGACCCATATTTGATCTATGTCTGGCTGTGTATAAACGTACTTGCATCCTTATACATCAGACTACTTCTGATCTATCACATTTAGGTCCAGAAAATGATAAAGGACACAATTTTTGTTTTTGTTTTTTTCCCCAAGACATGGGCAGACTTAGTGGTAAGATGCACATCCATTTATATCCACCGCCCCATATATAGACCTTCTTCTTATCAGGTCCTAATCAGACAACTTGTGGTGTTCTGTCTCTCAAATCTAAGCATTTAAAGTGTGATCTCTAACTTACAGTTGTGATGAGATAGCAATAACTCCAATCTCAGTTGGATACCACAGTCAGTGACTCAATCGAGATGATATCTTGTAGATCTTGTGAAGTTTATTCCATAAACTGAGAGAATCTTACAACAATGAACATCTGATAGGTCAAAAAATCATAATGTGACCTGATTCATGACATGAGGCTAGAGCTGCAATGCATTTCTGTGAAAAAGGGTGGGCTATCTATACAGCATTAACTAAACCAAAGGAAAGGGAGGAGCAGAAACAAAATATAGAGAACACTTAAAGGCATATGACAGTCATGTGAAACATGACATGTGTGAAAGGGGCCTGACCGTATATGAATAGAGCAGCCTTTCTCGACCTTTCCGACAAAGAGGAACCCTTGAAATAACAGTCCAGTCTCAGGGAACCTCTGTTAAATAAATGATACATTAGTGTGATGGTCAGGCGGGGAAATGCTCCTTATACTAGTGGATACTAGATAGCTAAAAAGATCAGTGGTGTCAGTGTGAACTTATTTGAGAGGAAGAAATTGCTCATTTCTCAAGGAACCCCTAACAACCTTTTGGAGGAATCCTGGTTGAGAAACCCTTGAATAGAATAATGAAACATTAGTTTTTACTTTAGTTATACTTTAAAGCACATACAGTATAATGTCAAAATATAGCTTTTGCCCACCTGACCATGATGTTCTATTTTCTTAATTAAAAAAAAACAAATATATGTAAATGTTGCAGAGGACACAATTCTCCAGGCTTCCAGGGTGGCAGGTCAGATTGCTATATGCTGAAGCACTAAATTGTATCAATACAGTAGTGCATGTTTACAAAATATGATTTTTCCCTTACAGGGTTACATGAAGCCTTTGAAGCAGCCGGAAAATTCCTTCCTGTGTGATCCATCTCTGGTGGACGAAATCTTCGATCAAATTCCAGAATTGTTGGAACATCATGAGCAGTTCCTGGAGCAGGTCAATCATGTGGTGCAGAACTGGCCCGACATCCAAACTGTGGGTGACATCCTGACACAATCTGTAAGTAACAGAAATGAAGTACAATGTAGCTCTCCTCTGTAACCATTATGTAACCAGTTCTTCATGGGAGTCTAAGTACTTTAGTATGCATACTGTAGATTGAGTCTGATGGGCAGAGTCACCCGCTGATCACTTCCTGTTTGAACCCACTCTGTCACACAGACAGGCCAGATGGTAAAGAAGTGCAAGTTCTTAGACAGGTGGTCAGAGCAGTCAGGATGATGGCCAAGTCAGGTAAGACAAATGATCAGAGTCCACGTTTCAGGAAACTAGACAGAGCAATGACTGACAATGACAATGAATAGTGGGGGTAACAGCCAAAGATCAGGATAGGCACAAACAAGTTAAGTAAAAACACAGTGACAAACAATTTGCAGACAAAAGTCAGACAGACCTGAATCCAGGGCATGAGCAGACAGACTAATGCAGGCCATAGATGGGTCGAAAATCGGCCGATTTTCGGATCGTTAGTGGGCTATTTGTTCGGCCGTTTTTTCGGTATTTTGGCCGTTTTTTTTTTAATCGGGAAAGTTGGAAAAAAATCGGCCGATTTTGCCGATCGGCCGATTTTCGCGGCAATTAGTGGGCAAATCGGCCGATTTTTTACCGATAAAAAAATCTGCGCATGAGCAGTGACCTGCAAGAGGAAGACAAAAAGAAGAAAAAGAAGAAGAGGAAGAGGATGAAGAAGAAGAAGAGGAAGAAGAAGAGGATGAAGATGAGGATGAAGAAGAAGAGGAAGAAGAAGAGGATGAAGATGAGGATGAAGAAGAAGAAGAGTATGAGGATGAAGAAGAGGATGAGGATGAAGCAGAAGAAGAGGATGAGGATGAAGAAGAAGAGGATGATGAAGAAGAAGAGGATGAGGATTAAGGAGAAGAAGAAGAGGATGAGGATGAAGAAGAGGATGAAGAAGAAGAGGATGAGGATGAAGAAGAAGAGGATGAGGATGAAGAAGAAGAAGAGGATGAGGATGAAGAAGTAGGATGAAAATAAGAGGAATTCCAGTCCAGCAAAAAGTGTCTCTGCAGAGAGCTCTGCTATTTCTCTGACAGTTCCTTGACATTTACAGCGGTTGCAACATTGTATCTATTTGTTTCCGAATAAAAACATCTGTATCCTAAATAGATACAAATAGATACATTGTTGCAACCTCTATAAATGTCAAGGAACTGTCTGAGAACTGTCAAAGAAATAGCGGAGCTCTCTGCAGGGACACTTTTTGCCAGCTGTAGACGGGATGAAAATCGGCCGATTTTTCTTTTACCATTGGTGGTAACGTCGGCCACTTGAACAACCGATTGTTCATTTTTTTAAAAGAAAAATCGGCCGATTTTCGACCCATCTATGGCCTGCATAAGCTGTTGATCAGGCATGGGCTGAATATGCAGCAGTCTGCTTTAGCACATTCCTGATTAGGGCAGGTGTGTGCTGTAGAGATCTGATCTACACAGCTGGGTACTGACAAGCAGATTGTGAATGTCAAGGGTGATCTTTATACTGGCTTCCACACACTGACTTCCCCAGGAAGATCTCTTGCAAGTAGTTTTGGATTTTGTACCTACCCTACCTTTAACCGCCTCCCACCTGCCATATAAGGTAATGACGGGTGCAAGGCGGTTCTCTCGTTCTGGGAGGATGTCACATGACGTCCTCCCACTCTAACCGGAAGCGCGCGGCGAGGCTATTGGTGGTGCGCTGTGTCCCTCAGACACAGCGGATCACCGATCAATGGAAAGAGCTGATGTTGGCTTGGTCATGTGCTCAGCTGTGTCCAATCACAGCTGAGCACATGTAAATAAGGTAATGCCGGTCATCGGCATTTCTGTCCTCACGAGCTGTCACGCTGACAGCTCGTAAGGAGAGGAGAGCCGGTAATCGGCATTCCTCGGAGGGGACATGTACACTGATCATCAGGGCACTGATGATCAGTGTAGCCCCAGCAGTGCCACCTGTCAGTGTCCATCAATGCCACCTGCCAGTGCCCATCAGTGCCACATCAATAGCACATATCAGTGCCTACCAGTGCACTCCAATGCCACATATCAGTGCCCATCTGAGCTGCCTTTCAGTGTCACCCATCAGTGCCAGTCAGTGCCACCTATCAGTGCCCGTCAGTGCCGCCTATCAGTGTCATATATGCGTGCTTCCTTTCAGTGCCCATCAGTGATGCCTGTCAATGCCCATCAGTGCCACCTACCAGTGCCTCCTCATCAGTAAAAAAAATATATATATAAACTTTTCTCTTTTACAGACCCACAAAAATGTCCAAAATATCAAAACAATCCCCACTAGTGTAACCAAATGTTCAGCAAAGTCTCTTTTTTTTTCTTCGACAAATCTCTTTCTCAACATCCGGAAATTCTGATGACATTATACCTCGAAAGAAAAAAACTCAACATAGTGTCATACCTTTTAAAATAGAAATACACACGTGCCCCTTACTGTGCAACATGCAATACTGTGAGAAAAAAAAAAAAAAATTATGTTAATCTATATGTGAATATACACGCATATATTTTTAAATATTTCTCTGTGTAACCAAATTCCTAATCAGTGAAACACTCATACATCGTGTCCACTATAAAATCTGTGAAAACAACTCACTGCAGTGTATCACTGCAAATGTGTATCACCACACTATGTATTCATCAGTGATCACCTTAAACCCTACACACACCCAAGACCAAACAATCTCCAACCCATGTGCTGATGGATAATTTCCCTATATATAAAATGACAGGGCATAACACAAATCTGGGTTGACTTCTTCTCTGTAGAATTCCATCCAGTATTAAAGTTTTTCTTCCATTCTCCTCATAAGAAAATCCGCAATTAAATATGGTAGATTCAATAAAAGAACATCCTTTATTTGAAAACTCACATTAAAGTTTGGATAAAGCAGCTCCTCCTCATAGAGATGTAAATGCAGACAGACTAGGAAACACTGGCCACATGTTCCCACTTCCAAGATGGCCACGATCGCACTTCCTGTCAACGTTGATGCGTCTGCCTCCTCATCAGTGCCACCTATCAGTGCCCATCAGTGCAGCCTATCAGTGTCCATCAGTGCAGCCTCATTAGCGCACATCAATGAAGGAGAAAAATCACTTATTTCCAAAATTTTAAAACAAAAACTAAAAAAAAAAACTTTCAAAATTTTCAGTGGTTTTTGGTTTGTTTAGCAAAAAATAAAAAACCCAGAGGTGATTAAATACCACCAAAATAAAGCTCTATCTGTGTCAAAAAAATTATAAAAATTTCATATGGGTACAGTGTTGCATGACCGCGCAATTGTCATTCAAAGTGCGACAGCGCTAAAAACTGGCCTGGGCAGGAAGGGGGTATAAGTGCCCTGTAGGCTAGTGGTTAATCACTTTACCACGTTTAAAGAAAGGAAGGAAAATCTAAAGCTGTCCATACACTAGCAGACTTGTGAATGACTTGAAAAATGCAGATTGCAAGGACCTGAAAAATGTTTGTTTGCTTTTAAGATTCGATTTTAGAACGATTGATTTTAATTTCCCGAACATAAACTATCTACACTGTTAGAAATATGTTTAAGAAAAAAAAACATTTCCATCCTCATTTTCAATTTTCCTCATTGTTGGTGAACATGATTTGACCCCAATTAAATTGTTTTAAAGTAATGTGAACGTTTCTTTATATCTGTCCCTGCTGAGGGGATCTCATCACCTCCTGTGTGGTCACCAGGAAAAAAAAAATGCTAGATGAACTCTCCCATGGTCTTTTCTCACCCAAAAATTGCTGTGGTTGGATTTGAGCTTCAATTCGTTCATGGTATGCTTTGTTAAAGTCGGACTTCAGCCAGGTAAAAATGTTAGAAGAAATGTAAGACATGTTCCTGGTACCTCGACTGGATCCTCTGGACTTTGTAGTATTATATGAGGTTTGACAATTTATTTCCTGGAATGGATTGGAAAAAAAAAGGGGGGGGGGGTTACCTATACACTGGCGGCTGTTTTCACCTTCAAAGTAGTCCCCTGGTGAAGAATGCAGCACAATGTTTTGAGCCATAGATCAAATATGGGTCCAGAAAGCTTTGCTTTTACAATGGAGCAAAACACCTAATGGACGCAGACAGGGGCGGACTGACCATTTGGAAACTCGGGCACTGCCTGAGGGCCCGGGGTCAGTAGGGGGCCCCATGAGATGCCCCTGGTACCTTTTTCTTATGCTTTTTGAGTTTGGGCAAGGTCACAAGGGCCCCATGATCCCCTATTGCCCGGGGGCCCCATGAGTTGTCAGTCCGCCCCTGGACGCAGATGTTATAAAAGTGACATCCGCCTCATTCTACATTGATTTAGAAGGGCATCTGTTTATGAATCTCTTGCTGAACACACCAGACTGACCCTGTGTCAAATAGGCTGGAAACGTTCCTGGAGGTTTTTCTGTGTCCTTTCAATGCATTCTTAGTTTTGGAAACAGCCAAAAGTTGCAGGGTGCTAAGTTAGAGGAATAAGGTGGTTGCTCAAGTTTTAAACACTGAATACTTAATGCATCATGTGCAGGAGCATTGTCATGATGGAGAATCCACTTGTCTGGCCGGAGTTCCAGTCTTTTCCTATGAACAGATTCGGCTCACATTCTGTCTGAATTTGCATCTGTCCTATGCATCGTCATGGACGTCTTCCCATCACTCCCTAAATCATCTATACCATTAATAAACACTTGATTTCTTTATGGAATGTTCACCATAACTGGGGTGATAAGTTTCACTCACCCTTTTTCAATTTTCAACAAAAATGTTAATCTGCTGCTCCAGATTACCGTCACTAATTTTTCGCCAACAACGCAATGCACTCTTGGTATTTTGTCTACTCTGTAAAGACTGAGTTAACTGGCTTGTGACCCAGGTGAGTGCAGGTTAGAACATGTCAGAACACGCGTGTGAATAGCTGTGCGATTCACCACCACAGTGCTACATTGCGTGCATTTCAGGAATTACATAGTCGCACCTCCTTCTCTAGATACACTAT